CTCAGCCTCCCAAGTAGCTGGGATTACAGGCATGCACCACCATGCCCAGATAATTTTTATATTTTTAGTAGAGACAGGGTTTCACCATGTTGGCCAAGCTGGTCTCGAACTCCTGGCCTCAGATGATCTGCCTGCCTTGGTCTCCCAAAGTGCTGGGATTGCAGGTATGAGCCATTATGCCCAGCCTTAAATTGTGCACTTTAAAATAGCAATTTTATGTTGTATAAATTTCATCTCAATTTTTAAAAATGTTGATTCTTGTCATTGTACCGTGATTATAGAAGTGATATAATGTCTTTATTCTAGGAAATACATACTGAAATTTTGGCAGAGGTCAAAAAAACATGATGTCTGCAGTTTGATCTCAAATAGGTCAAGGAAAAAAGATAGATAAAATTGTAAAACACAGATGGAAAAATCTTAATAATTGGTGAATTTGGGTATGGTTAGATTCAATATGGCCATGTAACAATTCTTCTTACATGGTTTGAAATTATTTCAAAATAGGCTGGGCACGGTGGCTCACGCCTATAATCCTAGCACTTTGGGAGGCCGAGGCGGGCAGATAAACTGAGGTCGGGAGTTCAAGACTAGCCTAACCAACATGGAGAAACCCCATCTCTACTAAAAATACAAAATTAGCTAGGTTTGGGGGCGCACGCCTGTAATCCCAGCTCTCAGGAGGCTGAGGCAGGAGAATTGCTTGAACCCGGGAGACGGAGGTTGCAGTGAGCCGAGTTCATGCCATTGCAATCCAGCCTGGGCAACAAGAGGGAAATTCTGTCTCAAAAAAGAAAAAAAACGAAAAAAAAAAGAAATTACTTCAAAATAAAAACTACAAATATAAGCACATTTAATTTTTAAAAGGCACCAAAAACAGAGTAAAAAGACAAGTCAAAACTACTAGAAGATACATGCTACACATATAGCTAACAAAAGATTGGTAACCACAATATATAAGGAGCTCCTATAAATTAACAAGATAAAGATAAACAACCTAATAAAAAATGGGCAAAAGACATGAATAGGCATTTCACAGATGAGAAAACACAAATGACCAATAATTGTGAAAAGATGCCCAAACTTATTAATAATAAAATACATACAAATTACAATAATAAAATACCATCTTACACCCACCACATTGAGAAAAATAAATCTGGCAACGCTCAATTCTGAAGAAGATTTAGAACGATGGAGCATTTTTTTTCTTTTTTAAGACAGGATCTTGCTCTGTCACCCAGGCTGGAATGTAGTGGCAGGATCAAAGCTCATTTTAGCCTTGAACTCCCAGGCTCAAGCCATCCTTCTGCTTCGGTCTCCTGAGAAGCGAGGACTGCTCAGCTAATTTTTTTCTTAAATTTTATTTTTAGAGACAGGGTCTTGTTATGTTGCCCAGGCTGGTCTTGAACTCCTTACTTGAACTTCTCCCACCTTGGATTCTCAAAGTGCTGGGATAATAGGTATTAGCCACCATGCCCAGCTCCTGGAGTTCTTAATATATTGCTGGGGGAAGCAAAAAATGGTGCAACCATGTTGTAGAGCAATTTAATATAATCTCTTAAGTTGAACATGTGTAGACCCCTTCCATTCAGCAGTCCTACTTGTAGGTACATTTACGCAATCAGAAAAAAAATTCTTACACATATACACACTGGGTCCTGTACCACAAAGTTTGTAACAGCATTGTTTGTGTTATGAAAATCTGAAAACAATCCAAATGTCCAACAAATAGGGAATGAATAAAAATACTTCTCCAATAATTCTATATAGCAGTGAAAATAAATGAACTGAAGCTACCAGTAATGACCATGTAAGCTCACAGCATGATGCTAAATGGTAAAGGAAGCTGCAGAAGAAAACTTGCAGTATAATATCGTTTAAATAAAATACAAAATCATGAAAAACTAAACTAAAGTTTGTGAATACTATGAAGAAAAGAGAAAGAAGAATAAGTAGAAAATTCAGGTTAGTGGTTGCCATGAGGGAACAGGAAGATGTCCCAAGAGGGATACACTGGGGGCTTCAACTGATTCAGCAATGATTTATTTTTTTAATCTTTGGGATGGGAATCCAACTTCTCATTACGTAATTCTTTATTCTTTTTCATGTGCATGATGTATTTTATTTTAAAAGATTTTCAGACACAGTTTTTTCCTTCCCACTTGGGCTAATTCCAGCTACCAATCTGCATATGTCAGCCCATTTCTAACTGTGCTGATTTCTGTGCTACGGTTTTAGTTTGCGATTGGAAGGGTCACCAAGAAGTGCCTCCCATAGACTCTCGCTACGCAGCAATCATCAGAAAGACCAGCCTTTGCTTCCATGGGAAAACAGATGTCCCGAGTCCTTCTGTAATACCACGGAAAGGGCACTGAGGGGAGCTATTTCATCACTCAGGTGCCTGGTCGTTTTTCTTCCCCTGTGGCCTTTTGATATAACGGAGAGGGCAACAGAATGGAAATTAGGACACTAGTTTCTATTTCCAATTTTCCTCTAATCCTCTATGTGGTCTTGGGCAAGTCATATTCCCTTTCTGCCTGTGTCCTCATCTGTAAGATAAATCTCATAGCCTCCTCCAAGATGCCTTTCAAATACGAAATTCCATGATCCATAATTATCTACAGGCTGGGCACAATGGCTCACACCTGTAATCTCAGTGCTTTGGGAGGCCAAGGCAGGAGGGTCCCTTGAGCCCAGGAGTTCAAGACTAGCCTGGGCAACACAGCAAGATCTCCAAAAAAATTTTAAAAATTAGCAGGGTGTGATGGCACACACCTGTAGTCTTAGCTGCTCAGAAGTCTGAGCCCAGGAGGTCGATGCTACAGTGAGCTGTGATCACACCAATGCACTTCAATCTGGGTGACAAAGTGAGACCCTATCTCAAGAAAAAAAATTATAATAAATCATTGCTGGACTCAAGAATTGTAATGAATAACGCCTAGTGCTTACGAAGCCTTGACAAGTCTCAAGAGATTAAAAATAACTCAGGGGTGCTCATATGGGAGGTACAACAGGAAACTCCTCTTCCTAAAATGAAGACATAGATCCATACTCACAAAGCAAAGTATAATTTAGCTAAATATGGGTATATTCTTAGATGAAAAAGAAAAGAAAGCTGAGTTTTCTAAACAAATCCATATTTTTTTCTACAGGAGAACAACACTGCTCATAATTCAGGTTTATGAAATAAATAAGTTTACCTTTATTATCATCTTGGAATCATTATATTCAGGGTTTATTTCCACTATTTCCTCTTGCCGCTCTTGAATTTCAAAAACTGGGTTCTATTACACAGAAAAGAAATCAACATTTAATCAATAAGATCAAGATATATTGATCATATCTACCAGGAGGTCAATATTTTTACAGAAAGAATGTTAAATTAAATTCCTTGTAAAGATGGCATTTATCAGCCCCCTTAGCACACATCAGAGGTAAGAAGAAAGGGCTTATTAAGTAGTTAAGAAACTATGTAATTTTCTTTTCACTTTGACCCAATTTGAATATACAACTACTATTGGGAATAAGGATGTTTTTCAATTAATTAAGAAACTATTAGAGAGATGTTTAACATCAGGTCTTCTAAAACCTGTATATACTACTTGAGTCACACACTACTTAATTGTAGTTCTTTAATACATATTCCCATGATACACTAAGCCTGCTTGTGGCAGCCTTTGGGGTGGGCCCTGCACAGGCTAATGTAGGCTTACAAGGTATCTCATAAGCAACAATAGAAATTGAGGCACAGAGAGTTAAAATCCCATTAAAGTTTTGGCAGAAACACATTGAAATAAACTTAAAATTTGGAAGTAAAAATGAGACATGCAGTTTTCCTTCCCTTCTTTATCATCCCCTGGGGTGTCAGTATGCTCTGCACATGGAGAAAGGAGGCAGAAGGGACATGGATGCAGAGGTGTTGGCATGCCTGGAGGCCAAGAAATGGAGTAGCGAGGTTGTGGAGGGTTTCTGCCTGACTGGTAGTAGAAGAATTAGAGCACTGGGAGGGGTAGGGGGACCAGCATGGACACGTTAGTGTGCTCTGGCGCAAGGAAGAGGGACAGTGAGGGGAAGGAAGAGGGCCCTCTTGTAGTGGGGGCTGCAAGGAGGTGTTGGTATGTTCCATGGTCAAGGAGGCAGTTACGGGTGATAAAGAGAAGGAAGTGGTTATTGTGACTGGGTGATTAGTTACACTGAGAAAATTAGAAAATTGAGGCTGAGTGTGGTGACTCACACCTGTAATCCCAACACTTTGGGAGGCCGAGGCAGGTGGATCATCTGAGGTCAGGAGTTCAAGACCAGTCTTGCCAACATGGTGAAACCCCATCTCTACTAAAAATACAAAAATTAGCTAAGTGTGGTGGTGTGCGCCTGTAGTTCCAGCTACTCAGGAGATGGAGGCAGGAGAATTGCTTGAATCCAGGAGGTGGAGATTGCAGTGAGCTGAGATTGCACCACTGCACTCCAGCCTGGGCAACAGAGCGAGACTCCATCTAAAAAAAAAAATTAGAAAACTGAGTGAAAATGTAAATACAGTGAGGCTAATGGAATCTATAATCAGAGGATAATGGAATCACTGTCAGAGAAGTGATTTTATAAAAGTAAATGATTAGAAAGAACATTGGATTGTTAGATTGCAATTGGAGATAAATAGAAACTCATAGTTTTTGATTTTATGTATACTTACATAAAAATAGAGATGTATGTATGTGTATGTACACAGAGACATACATTTATTTTCTAGCTCTGTCCACTGAAAAGGGCCTAGAAGCAATGATACCCAGTAGAAAGGTGCTCACTGAAGGCCTAGATCTCGGCTTCCAAACACCATCTTGTGAAAGGAACCAAGGCTCCTGGGGCAGGAAAAGCACAAGATGAGTCTGAAGCATCTTTTTGTGCCAGAAACCAAGGAAGTGCTCAAATAATGATGAGGACATGTCAAAAGGACCCAGTATCTATCTTGAAGGGGATCCTACTAGCCAAAGCTGGGAAATTTTGAGTATGAAAATAGTGATGTCAATGGATACAACGCATTGGACAAAAAGAAATCAATGAATTCATACTTACATGAATGAATGAGAGAGTGAGTGAGTGAGTTATTGAATGAATAGGGAGAAAGGAAAACGCTTCTTACAGTAGAATGCCAACTAACAAATGTAGAAGGACTGATAGAAATAGAAAATCTCAATAGGCCATCACCACAGTGGAAGCTGATTCAGGCAGAGGGTTCTACAGATGCTAAGGCTAACGAGTGAGGGTCCATGAGGAACAGTATGTTGGTGCCATTTCAAAATATCTCCCCACAGAATGCTGTTCAATTACAAAGGCAAAAATAATGTTTGAGCGTTTTTATTTTGTTTCATTTTGACACAGGGTCGCTTTGTCAACCCACACTGGAGTGCAGGGGCGCAATCTCGGTTCACTGCAGGCTCAATCTCCCAGGCTCAAGCCATCCTCCCACCTCAGTCTCCCAGGTAGCTGGGACTACAGGCACGTGCCACCATGCCCAGCTAATTTTTTGTGTTTTTTTGTAGAGAAGAGGTTTCACTATGTTGTCCACTATTGAATTCCTGAGCTCAAGCAATCCACCTGCCTTGGCCTCCCAAAGTGTTGGGATTACAGGCATGAGCCACTGTGCCTAGCCAAGAAACCTGACAAACATCAACTTTTCCAGGTAATCAAGGTTAACATTATTAGCAGTGGGACACAGTGACATTGTTTGTCCCGTGGCGATGTAATGAGAAGAGCACAGAGCCATTTCTAAAGAATTCTGGCCAAGAACGCATGGCTTCTAATACTAGTCAAAAGGAAAAATCAGACAAATCCAACACCCTTGTGATGTTGTGATACAGTAAGAAACATACACCTGGTCTTCTGTCCCCTCTCCTGGCACAGAGCTCCTGAAATCCTTGTAATTTCCTCAGTGATAGGTGTGATAGAAGCATCTTTTATTATACTATTTTTGTCTTAGTCCCAGGTTCCTGACACAAGAACTTCTAAGGACCCTTGGAATCTCTGGAGCTACAGGAGTTATCTATTTTATATGCTAATGAGTTGACTGGTGCCCAAAGACCCTTAGATAGCTTCAGAATGGGGTCTGGTCATCAGAAAGGCCAACCATGTGATTAGAAGATTTGAACTTGGGGCTGGGCACGGTGGCTTAGACCTGTAATCCCAGCACTTTGGGAGGCTGAGGCAGGTGGATCACGAGGTCAGCAGTTCAAGACCAGCCTGGCCAACATGATGAAACCCTGTTTCTACTAAAAATACAAAAATTAGCTGGGTGTGGTGGCATGTGCCTGTAATCCCAGCTACTTGGGAGGCTGAGGCAGGAGAACTGGTTGAACCTGGGATGGGGAGGTTGCAGTGAGCTGAGATCGCACCATTGTACTCCTGCCTGGATGACAGAGCAAGACTCCTTCTCAAAAAAAAAAAAAAAAAGATTTGAACTTGGAGCCCCACCCCTTGACCTCCAGGTAGAGGAGGGGAGCTGAAGGTTGAGTTAATCACCGATAGCCAATGATTTAGTCAATCATACCTAAGTAACAGGACCTCCATAAAACTCCTAAAAGACAGAGTTTAGAGAGTTTCTGAGTTGGTGAACGCATTAAGGTACTTAGAGGGCAGTGCGCCCAGAGAAAGCACGGAAGTTCTGCGTCTCTTGACCTAGACCTTGCCCCCTGCATCTTTCCCATTGGCTGTTTCTGAGCTGTATCCTTTAAAATACACTAGTAAGGAAAGAGCACTCCTGAGTTCTGTAAGCTGTTCTAGCAAATTAGCAAATCCAAGGTGTTGTGTAAACCCTTGATTTTTAGTGAGTCAATTAGAAGTATGGGAGACCCAGGACTTGAGATTGGCATTTTAAGTGGAGGCCATCTTGTGAGACTGAGGCCCTTAACCTGTGGGATCTGACGCTAACTCCAGGTCTATAGTGTCAGATTTCTACTGAATTGTTGGACACCTGGCTGGTGTCTGGAGAGTTGGAGAACTGGTTGTCATGAGAAAAAAACCCCCACACATTTGCATCAGAAGTGTTCTGTGGGTAGAGATAGTTCCTAGTAACCCTACAGAATGAAAGGCCTGTACTATTGAAAACTGTCAAGGGCAGGAATGACAGGGAAAGATTGAGGCACCATGGCTCCAGATCGAAGGAGAAGGAATAGACGACAACTAAAGGGAGCCTGTGTTCCTGGAGTGGTTGTGGATGAGAAAGCAAAAAGACATCATTGGGACAGTTGGTGAAACTTGCATGGGGTCTCAGTACTGGCTGGAAGCATTGAATCAGTGTGGATTTCCTTATCTGGTGGGTCATATGGTGTTTATGTAGTAGAGTGTCCTTTGGTGGGCAGAATACTTACTGGGGAGCCCTGGGGCTTCATATCTGCAATTTGCTCTCAAATCATTCAGAAAGAGAAAATGGTAGGGTACACACACACACACACACACACACACACACACTCCTCAAACGTGATACAAGGTACCAACTGAGGAACCTGAGCGGAAGGAATGCGGGTGCTCTTTGTACTATTCCTGCAACTTTCTGTAAGTTTGAAAATATTTCGAGAGGTGTGGAGAAAGATTTAATAACTTTTTCTTTTTCTTTCTTTCTTTTTTTTTTTTTTGGAGACAGGATCTCACTCTGTCACCCAAGCTGGAGTGCATTGGTGCCATCACTGCTCACTGCAGCCTCGAGCTGGGCTCAAGCCATCCTTTCACTTTGGCCTCCCGAGTAGCTAGGACCACAGGTGCACACCACTATGCCCAGCTAATTTTTTTGTAATTATTGTAGAGATGGGGTTTTGCCATGTTGCCCAGGCTAGTCTCGAACTCCTGGGCTCAAGTGATCCTCCCTCCTTGGCCTCCCAAAGTGCTGAGATTAAAGGAGCGAGCCATCAAGCTCAGCTAAATTTAAGTATAAGATTAAGAAAAAGGAGTCTCAAATACTGGGAGGGCACAATGACTTAAACAGACAACAACAACAAAAACCAAGGCCTCTGTCACCCAGGCAGGAGTGCAAGTGGTGTTGATCTGAGATCCTGGGTTCAGGTGATTCTCCTACCTCAGCCTCCCAAGTAGCTGGGACCACAGGTGTGTGCCACCATGCCGGGCCAATTTTTTGTATTTTTAGTAGAGACAGGGTTTCACCATGTTGCCCAGGATGGTCTCCAGCTTCTGGGCTCAAGCAGTTCACCCATCTCAGCCTCTCAAAGTGCTGGGATTACAGGCGTAAGCCACCAAGCCTGGCCAGCATATGATTGTTTTTTTAAAGTTCAGTCTGCCTCAT